TTGCGTCGCATGACCACTATTATCTATTATCATCTATTATCCAACTACCTTCACTCGATTGTCTTCCAGGGCCATGGACATCTTCGAGGTGTCGATCAACTATGCTGATTCCACACACGGGGGTGACCGGCGAAAGACGTCACAACAGTGCATCTTTCATGCGCATGGCGGTCATTGTATTGATACTCAGCCCCTCGAAGCCCACATCCCCTGTCCCCTGTCGCTCCCCAGGTATGGCTGCCATCTCTGCCTCAACCTGGAACAACGCGGCTTTCTCGAAGTCGAAGGCCCTGCTCGGGTCGATCTGCGATGTGGAGAGAAGCAGAGTCTCTGAGCTTCAGAACCCGGACCCAGAAAGGTCTTTAGCGCCACATTGGAGGGCTCCTCGATTCAAATCTCCTACTGTTTCTTGAAACATTTCAATCTTTTAGGAAGTGTTCAGATCAACAGTATCAAACATATTGAATACATTTTTGGGTTCAGCGTTGCATCGCGTGCCTTGAGGTACAACAGAGAGGCATCCATGCCACTGCATGCATCATCAAGAACATCGTTGCAGGTGTTTCAAGCAACTCGCAACAGCCACTTCTGGTGGTGGACCTCTTGCCCTCCAGGCTAGGGTCTAGTGCTCATGATATATGATAATCCCTGAACTAATGCCCAGATTGAGAATGGGGAGGCCAAAACTCTTTCCACCCTTGATCCCTTCACCTGCCCAGGTTTGCTGAATGGTCCTTGGCAAGCTGGAGCATCCAGGCAGCTTTCCTTCAGGAAGCAAATCGAGAGTTGGATGTGCGCTTCTTGGGGGTATACCACTCGGACAACGCGGAGGAGCTGACCAGTGCCAGGGCAGTTTTGATGGGTCGGCTGATCTCTGACTACTGGGATGGATGTGAGAAAGCAGGCTCCAAAACTCGTGAAGCTTCTAGCTTTTCTGAGAGCTTGCCAACTTTGCAGAGCTTGGTGATCAACGAAGATGGAGAAATCAAGTTTTTTGATTGCAGTGTCATGCATGACTGCTTGATTTCAATGGGTAATCGTGAATAGAACAAAAAGGGAAATATTATATGTTTGCTTTATGTGTGTGTTTCTGATTGGAATCCAAGGATTCCGGACTTGCTGCAGCAGAAGTACTCGCAACAACCAGGTTTGAAGGACTTCACCGCCAAGCTTGCTGAGGACACTGAAATATCCGGAGCCTTGAGGACTTTCCATGCAGCCCAGCAGCGGTGCAATGCCACTCCAAGCGTGAGCACGGCCACGGTGCCAACCAGAACCCTGGCATCGCCAGAGTGGCAAGGTGATTCACCCATCAATGTCCGCAAGAGGCTCAACTTGGAGGAGATTTCCATGAGCCAGTTCGAATCTGCAAATGTGCAGCTTTGATGGTATTGGTACCCGTTTTGGGCCGGGGGAAGGATGGGTTGAGGGTTTCAGCAATTTTTGCGCAGTAGCTTCCCAACTCAAGCTAGTATCTAGTACTACTTGAACTGTTGGGGCCATCATACCTACTACACTAAGGCCAGAATACATCGCAGATCTACCTCGAGTTGCAGGGGTGAAAGTGTGCCTCACCAGCGACAACCACCTTTGGCTTCTCAACAAAAGCGGGAATGGATCTGTCGCGGAGATACCAGCAGGTGAATTGTTCGGCTTCAACATTGGCAGTTTCCTAGAAGTACCGCTAGGCCAGTGACTTCAACAGAATCCAACAAGGCTTCAAACAATCGAAACATTACAATAGAAAAAGAAAGGCTTCAATGAAACAACACCTGATGTCATCCGTTTATTTTGCAGGCAACGCACACCCATCGGATGTGCACCTTGGATGGGTCCTGAGCCAGGACAACACCTTGGTAGCAATGGCAGACAGCAAAGAGATCAAATCTGTCGCTGACATCATGTGTGATGTGGCAAAGCATCAGGGTGTCACTGAGATCCGCATTGTGGATCATACTGTCCAGCCTAAGGCTATTTTTTGTTGAGTCATACTGTTTGCATTGAGTGCTTGTGTGTTAAGCCAGTTTCCAAATAAAGCTGTGTATCTACCAACCGCCTATTTTACAATCGGTGTATTTTCCATCCATGCCACTCCATCCAATCGTTGGTCAGCCAACCATCCTGCCATCCGCCCGCATCCGCCCATCGATCTACCCATCCATCCCTGAACCTATCTGTCCATCATCCAACCGTCCACCCAAACCTATTCACTATTGTATACTATTGTCACTATTGGATTTATCCATTTGTCTATCCATCCGTCCATCCATTTGTTTAGCCAGTCATCCATTTCACTGTCTGTCTTCCACCTGTCAATCTGTGTGGAGGTGCTTGTTTGTCCTACCCTGCATCCAGCCAGCTAGCCATCCACTCCCTCTCTCACTCATTCTCTCTCTCCATCCTTTCGCCCAAGTGCTAACACTGGTGACATAGCTGTTGATGTAGCCATCCTGACTGTGGGATCTTGGTGAGTTGGCAGGCGGGAACTGGTGATCGGCCGTTGGCCTATCGGTATGACATCTCGGCTATGACCATGGTCAATGTGTATAAGCCGAAGGAGCTTGCCGCCGACACCGACAAGCAGCACATACGATCGGTGCAATTTGGTGCTGTTTTCCATGCCAAATATTCACAACTTCCAAGATGCCAGCTGTGTGATGTGGTCTGGGAGGCCATGGTTGGATAACATAATCAGGAATCTCACAATCTTCATGATCTTCATGTCTACCCCTCAAACCACTGCTACCCAGGTGAAGGTGGATTCATCAGTGCCCGCTGTACTGAAGCCAATCAAACCAAAGTTCTATGTATTGGGCACTGTCAGCCTCAAAGATGGGTGCGCAGTCAGACTGAAGTGACATGCTTCAAGTCTGCCGGGGGTTGAATGTGATTGTAGGGATGGCTGGGTGATAAGACTCCATGATCCACCCTTTATACATAGTCCACTCTCGATAAACCTTGCCACTTTGTTTAGTCGAGACACCCATGCCTGTCAGAGAATCACATACTTTTGAGAAGGCTTGGGATGACCCTGAGCTTGTGGGTAGCGCGCTCTTGTGAGCACTGGATTTGCTGTGGAGCCCAAATGAACCCAAGCTTTGCTCTGAGACTCCACACTTGCAGCGGAAGGGCAAAACCTGCTTGAAGGTGAATTTGTTTACATGTGTTTGATTTGTGTGCCATAGATTCAGATCAACTCATGTCATGATCGGATATCTAGGATTGTGTGCGATGGCTTTGGATGCCGTCGAGACCCTAAGTGATGAGGATGCCAAACCTCAGGCGGCTCCTGTGACTCCTGTGACCAAAGCTGCACCGAAGGCTAAGAATAAACCAAAGACTGCACCAAAGAAAGATGCTGCACCAAAAGCAGATCTGATGAAGAAACCGTCGTTGCAAACCACTGGTGAGTCTAAACAAGTGGTGAAAAGTGTTCTGAAGCGGCCTGCCGCTGCTTCAAAGGCCAAGGCATCCTCCAAGGAATCTGCGCCTGAGAAGGTGCTTGTGTCGAAGGGCTTATACAAAAACGGCATGTATGGCTTCAAGATCAACGGCTCAGAGAAACTACGAGTCACTTTGATGCTGCACTCTATCAGTGACATGTGTTCTCTAGAGCTTTCAACAGCAACATGCAGTTTTTTCTGTAGTTTTCTCTAGACATGTGTTGATATGTCATTCTTCTAAGTTGAAGCCGGTAGAGGGCCTCACTGCGGAAGCATTGCACGACATTGCAGCTACTTAGTTGCTCCAAGATGTGCTGTGAATGTATCATATACAGTGTCTTTATGTAAAGATTTTTTAAACTAGTTTTGGCAGCCAAGGTGGCTGTGCGAGATGAGCTGATTCGAACAAAGGGCGATGTTCAAGCTGGATCTACACTCATGGTGTCTTAGCTAGATTTGCATCAAGGGAACATGAGGTGCAAGTCTCACCGCAATCGTTTTCAATTGATTGTGTGTTTGTTCTTTCTCGATTCTCAAAGGACACCATGGTGGCCGCGGCTGTGGCCAAGCTCAAGAAGGATGATGCTCTGGATGCCGATGAAGGGGCTGAGATGGAAGCCGATGAACCCTTTGAAGGGGAAGAGGAAGAACCTCGTGAAATTGATGATGCATTGGAGGGTTGAGTTTCTCTGACATGTTTCATGGGAATCTTTCAACCCCTATATCATCACAACATATCACAACCTTTGAGCATCTTTGAGCCATGTGGGACCTGCGTTCGGCCAGGTTCCAGTGCGAGCACACTTGACACCCGCATCCGCATGAGCTGCTGCGAAATGGTTTGGGCGCTTCTTGATAAGTAATCTTCAAAAAAATGCAGTTGTTTGCTTCAGGGCGCCCTTGAGATCGCCTTAGAATTTTGTGAAGGCCCCTTAGAAGACTGTGCCTGCAGGGCTTGTATGTTTCCAGCCACTATTGTTACAATGTCCAAAGGTGGTTCTCGAATGGAAGCTGTGAGTGCAAGCCTGGTGACACTCGAACGCTGACAACCACCAGAATAGTGCTGCAAAAACGGCAGCTCTTGAGAGTTGGGAAAGGGTGGGGCAGACCCAAAATCGGTGTTGAAAGATCTTAGGATATCTTAGGGGTCATGCTTCGTGTGTTGCGCCTATGCCTTGTGGAACAACTTAGGCCCTCAAGACTCTTGGCATGTTCTTCTCGAGGTGTAAATCGCAAGCTGTTGCAGGTAGCCATAGTTCAAAACATAAGGGGTCATTTTTCTCGCCAACAGTTATGTTATGTTTGCAGGTCTCGCAAACAGAAATTATCCAGAGCGACAGAGTGAGGTAGTTGTGAAGGTGCATCGCTCTCTTGTACCCCTTGTATACTAGAATCCTGTAAGAGTCTTTGCTTTGTTTTTTTCTATCTAAGCTTAAATGCCACTTCATTGTTTGGGCACCAGCTATCTACAGGTCATCTCCACTTAGCCGTGAAGCTAGTCATTCCAGCTGATCAAACAGTCCAGCAGTTCAAACTTTCTCAAAGTTGAGCCAGTTATCACTGTTGATACATGTTGATACACTGGTTTTGGCCAAAGCCCTGGTTGCAAAGCAAGACCCTGAACCAATGGAACAGCCCATTGAAGCTCTTGGGAACGATGGCATGGCCGGAACGGCCCGTTGAAATCCTACACCAGGAACAGGAGCACTCCCTGACTCTGAAACAGCCTTTGGGGTCGACATTCCATAGACCAACCTGGGATCAACACCAAGATGATGAACATGTGAACCATCATGCAATGCACCACACGGCATGCCATGCGGTCCCGGACCGCCAGGGGCTCGAGGAAGAGGAACTTCTGCATGGGATGGTCCTTCATGCGACGCAATGTTCCTTTGAATGTTGACTGGCTCCCTGATGGTCGCAACACTAGAGGGTCGCGTAGGCACTGGGTACATATATCTTTCATGAGGAGGTGGTTCAAAAGGGTCCGTACCATTCTCGGGCTCTTCAAGACTACTTTTGCAGTTCCAACACCAACCACGCCCAACAACATTTTGGTTTCCACACACATGGGAGTAAACAACGTTCAATGGTGAGGCTGAAGCAACCGACGGGGCGCTTCCGGCTTCCGACGGACACGCATCAAAGTAGCCTGCAACAGGCGAAGCTCGAAGGGCTTCGTTCTCACGCGCAAGGTCTTGACACCTAGCTTCTGCTGCAGCTGTCACGCGTTGTATCTCGCGTTGGGCTTGTTCTGCTATCTGCTGATGCTTGAGGATTTCTGCTTGTGCCTCTGTTGTGATCTGGTTGATTCTGCTATGTGCTTGTTGTGCCATGCTGGCTTCTTGCTGTTGGATGTGTTGGTTCATCTGTTGATGTTCAAGGCTCAACTGTAATGCTGCATTCTGCTGCTCAAGTTGATGTTGTTGTCGTTCATGCTGTATCACCTGTTCTGCATGGTTCAACTGCGTTTGAACGTAACCCTGAACAATTCTTTCAAGTGTCTCTGGATCGATGTTGTGCTGGTTGAGTACTTGTAGGTGGTTGAGGGTTCTCTGATCATAAACATGCACCCCAGGAACAGTCGATGGATCACCTTGTACCCCAGAAGGTTGGGAAGGTTCAGAACTCTGAGTCCGCATGCGACTCACTGCAACTTTTGTATTTCCCTTGGCCGGCACACTCACTTGGAGCCCGGTTCCTCCACCAGTTCCCAACAAATCACCCTCCATCCTCGCAAGCCCAGTCTCCGGAGAAATGGATGAACTCGAGGTTTCGTAGGAGCCTTCAGGACCGATGACACGAAAGGGTGTTGCAGGAAGCGACCGTTTTGACATCGACTATCCGGTGCAATGCAATGACTCTCAACGCAAGCAATCAACTCAATATAATACAGCTCAGCCCAACTTGACTTAGGCTCACTGATCCAAAGAAACACAAGTCTTGAGTGGGTGGCCTTTGTAATGAAGGGTTATCACACAAACAATCAACTCACAACAACTGACTCTCGGCACCTCTCGGAACGCTCAATCCTCCCCTTTTACACTGCTCGGCACGCGATCGGGTGTCGCGGTTGTCTGCCACGCGCCTAGGGCTGCGAGTTTTGCAGTGGTCGCGGCGAAGCCGCGAGAGCAAGTCGCGATCGTCGCGAAGGGCGCGACAGATCGCGGAGGCGACGGCGCTCCAACAAAGTACCACGAATCAACCAATGTTCAAACACTCCACAAACAATGTACCACTCACACCAAAACGCACAATGTTCGCCGCTTGCTCAACTTGCCACGTGACCCTTGGTCGACAGGTTTATTGCAGCAGCCTTCAATGCACAATGCTCAACAATGATGCAACGTCAGTCTCAACCCAACACTTGGCTTCTAGCCGACAGATTTATTGACCAATGTTGCAATGCTCAGCCAACCAATGCCTGCTCACACGACGCAAAATGCGATCAACAATGCACTGGTCGACTCTCTCTCTCTTTCACCGGCTCAGGATTCTCCCGAGCTCTCTTGCGCTCGGCAGCTCCCCTGCCCTCGGAAACTCCTGTAGGACTCGCTCGAGCGGGACCAGTGCCTCAGCCGGGGTGACCCCCGATCTGACCAAATGTGTCCTTCCCCCTGAGGCAGGTTGTGCTGCCAGCTTCGGACGTCCGACAACAATGCGGCCTGATCGTCCACGAACACGAGTGCACCAAGTTCCGTAACGAGCTGGGCCTTGGGGCCGCTGTGGCCACTGATGGAAGGACTCTGAATGTGGTCCTTGATGAACTTTGTACGGGTCACTGCAATCACGTCGAACGGCCGATCCAGCCTAGCGTTGACTCCTTCCACGCCTGCCAGCACTAACTCTTGCGTCTCCCTCGCCGAAGCAAAGCTCAACACGCCCAATGCGTAGCCCTCCGACTGAAGACGACGAAGTAGCTGAATCGCACTCTCGTGAACCGGCTGGTGAGGGAAGCTCAACGTCTTATGCCAATCAAACAGGATCAACGGCTTGTCTTGCCACACGCTCGATGGAGACGCGCAGGCTCTGTCGGCCGTACGGAAGTCGACGGCTCAGCCGCTGCGGCAGGCTGAGGCCTTTCCTTCGGCCGTGGAGCAAGCGCAACAGGCTGAATCTCCTCCGTCAACCGCGGCTTCGATGCGGCCCTTGTAGCCGCCGGAACTGGCGGCGCGCGAGGCACCGGAGGTGGAGGCGGCAGGCTCTCTATCTCCAATCTTCTTGCAGCTTCGGCCTGCTCAATCTCCTGCTTAGTGGGAGCGGGAGGTGGAACCGGAAGCTCTTCGATGGCGCGCTTCAACCCGGATCCGGAGGAGCCTTCACCCTCGCGCTGGCGCGATGAATCACGACCAATGGCACGCCGCAATGCACCAACTGCCGACTCCTCACGCTCAATGTCACCAGTCTCGCTCGGTTCCTTCTTTGTCTTGGCTTTGGCTGACGTGGCCTGTGGAGGTGGTTTGACCCTCTTCTCAACAGGTGGTCTTTCCTCAAACGGCTCTTCACTTACTGATGGCGACGGTTTGCTGGCCGTAGGTCGAGCTGACCTGGATCGAAGTTCTCTGGCTCTCTCACGGAGGCTGCCAGGTTCAACGGATGCCGAACGCTCAGTAGCCGCCTCGGTGGCTTGCCTCGCGATCGAATCCTCGGTCGCCGAAAAGTCAACACCCGATGCAACTTCGGGCGAACCTCCAGGAACCTCAGGAGCAATGTCAACAGCTTCTGCACGATGTTCACGGGGTTCACCTGTCACTGTATCAACGCTCTCACCTTCGAGTTCTACCTCCTCCTCAGGGATCTCGTCGTCTCGCGAATCGTCTTCGCGATCTCTGCTGTCGTCCCGCACTGGGCTCAAGCCGCCCTCAGGCACCCAAACCCAACACTTCTTCCAACTCCCACGCTGTTGCGGCCTCGATCTTGACCTCTCAACACGCTCTGTAGGAGTCCGCGACCTCTCAACCCGACTGGACCGTGGATCTTCAGGAGGCGATTCTTCTTCTGTCTCCGACGCCGGCCTCGGCGGGCGTCTTACCTCCCAAGTCTCAACAAACCCAGGAGGCGGGAACCAGGGCTGCCTCGGACTTCGCGCCGGGTATACTTCTCTTCTCGGCTGCTCTGAGCAGGTCGCCTGTCTCTGTCCTCGCGAGCGTATTCACGCTCGCGATCACGACCACGCTCAACCCGATGTCCCTGTCTGCTTCTCTGGTGCGGTCCTCTGTTGGGAGACCGCGTTCCCTCCTCGATTGTTGACTCGGACGGTTTGGATCCCCTCCTCGGGGTCCACGTCGTCTCCGTGAGCGCTCACGCTCGCGCTCACGCGGGGGCATGGATCGCGCTCGAAAGCGCGAGGCAACAAGTGTTTGAAGAAAGTTTCAACACAATGCCAGTGTTTCGTATGACAAGCTTGTCTCGATCTATGTGTATGGTTTCGTTTTTCAACCAATGGTCTCCTTGTAGCTCTTGCGGCTGATAACCAGTTGAAAGCTAAAACCTTGGTCTATCTCCTGGTAGGCCGACTCAAACGCGAACGATCGTATCCGGTCGCGTCACAGCCTGTTTTCCAAAGTCTTGAGCCAAACGAGTTGGCGTTCAGTAACACAGTTCACACGGCAATGCTACTTTAGCATACCGATTTCAGATGATGCAACTCTTTACATGATAATTCCAATCTTGGACAAAGTGGTCCTAGATCCCTCCTATCAACTATAGATGTAAGCATGCAAACCTCACTCAAAGCTCAGTTCATCTTGTAGCTGTTTTAGCTGAGGGATTTCATCTACATATCATATATATATATATATGCTACATGTTAGCGATATCAACATCTGTCTGCTGTTCACATTCACCGTAGATGGACAAAAACCTTACGGACCACTTGAGGATCTCAACACCTGTGGAACCCACCATCTACTCTGAACCCAGCTATTTAGATCTATTTAGTAGGGCTATCTCCGAAACTGATGACTAACCACTTGCCCACATCGCCCGGATTGGGTGTAAAACAAGTGCGTGTGTGTACTTCAGTGGCGGTGCTGGTGCTTCGTCACAGTGTCGTAATGATGGACCTCAGTCCTTGAGAAGTGTGTTGTTGAAATACTAATCGCCCGTCGCCTGTCTTCTCTCTTTAAGCCCTTACTTTCACCAACCCCTCATCCCATGATCCTATTCTAAAACGGAACAACCGAAAACATTAGTCTGTGGGATCTCTCCTGACGAGAAAGCTAGTCTTGGTGACATCCACCCAAAAAATATGACACCTTCTAGGCGGGTTGTCAATCCCAACGTTTCCATTAGGGCTGATGAGAATTGATGAGCAATTGATCCAGCAAGTACCAAAAGAATCAGCTGAGTCGATGCTGTTGATCATGAATTGTTGCATCTTGTAGCCAGGTGTTCCATAGCGATTTTTGAGTTGACCGTTGACCATGATCCATCTGGTGTCACTCGTCAAGCCATCCCGTCTGTCTCATTGACCTCATCGTCGGTTCCTTCCCGCCTGCGACGTCCAAGTGATCTCGCTCTGGATGCTGTGCCGCTCAGACGAGACATGGCCATGGCAAAGTACCAGGTACTCGCGCTGCAAGGCTCCTGGAAAAAAAAAGAACAGAAAAAAAAAACACACATACAGTAAACAACTTTTAAAAAAGATAACGGATCTGATGGATGGCAGTCAGGTGTTAGGTGATTTTTTTGGTGTGTACAAGTCGTCACTCTTTGGTTCCGAAAATATCCGTTTCACCACCTGAGTGCACCACCGTTCCCGGCCACGAAAAGGTACGGCTCCACACATCCTCCACAGCGGCTCCTGTGGAGAGCTGAAACTTGAGGTCGTGGAGGGATTGGTAGGTCCTCGGCTGCAAAGAAATTGCTGGTAACAAAGGGCATCGCTACTAGGAGCAAGAAGCGCAAGAAGCTACTAGTAGCTCCTGGCATTACTACTAGTAACACGAAGCTACTAGGAACAAGGGCATCGACGCTACTAGTAGCTCCTGGCATTACTACAGTAACAACAAGCTACTAGGAACA